GTGTGTGTGTGTGTGTTAATGCTGGACTGCCAGACAACAGCAAACCAAAGCAGGGACTGTAGTGTGTACTTAGGTCAGCGCTGGACATGAGAGCCACACATGTAACAGAGTGAGTCAGGACGTGAACCTGATCAACGTGACAGACTGATGTGTGACCTCTTGCTCCGTTCATCAGCCGTTTCAGCTTTGATGCGAGCTAATGTTGAGCCACGTTTAAAAAGGTGCGATTCAAAGACCCTGTGCCTGCAGAGGATGCGACACTCCAGATGATGTCCCGATGTTTAAGGACCAAGCATGGGGAAACTATTTGAACGGCTCTGTCTGATTATCATCCAGCGTTGGTTAGCAAAAAGCCATTAGTGGAGGAAACAAACACAATTATGGTTATTAATTATTGACATCAGATGGATGCGAGCAGTTGTGGGCCTGTTTTCCCGTATCTCTCTCTCTCTCTCTCCCCACAGATCCCAGAAGCTGCACTGATGCCAAAAAGCAAGCAATCCCTGCGTCGCGTTACCTCACTACTAAACACTAAAGCACAGCCGTCTATTCAAGAGACACAGATCCAGGACGAGATCAGTGACGGAAACCTGAAGCTGACTGCACATCAGCGTTGATGTCTTACTGCCGAGCACATGGTTAGAACAGGAGATGGACAAGGTGTTTTAACAGCTACAAAGATTATCTTTCAGCCTAGAGGTTTTGAATTCTTTAGAGTTCTATATTAACCTGATGAATTGTGAACACCTGAAAACCATTTCTGAGGATAAAAGTTGCAAAAACAAATGACAGTTCACCCTTTGATTAACTGCTTTATATTTTTTTGTTAAGAAAATGGCAAAAATGGAACAAACCTACTGGATAAAAATAGAGTCGACAAAATTATAAACCATTTCATCTTCTAAGCTATACAGCTGCATGTTTTGAATCTTAAAGAGTGCCAAGAAGTAGATGAATGGATCTCCCAATGAACAGCTTTGAACACCCATTGTAAAAGACAAACAACTCTCAACCCCTCCCCCCTCTTCTCTCCCACCCCACATGTAATATAAAACCCACAGAGATCAGTAAAATCCAAATTCAAAACAACAATGTCCACAGGACACCAAATGCTGACATATGCAATATGCACACACCAACAGAGAACAAAAAAAAAAAAAAAACTTTTGAATTCTGGTACGAAGGATAAAAAGAGGAAAGCAAGAAGGATCCTGGTGTTTTGGTTTGTATGTGTTATGTCTTGTTGTATTGTGCTCCAACAAGTTTGTACTGCGTGATAACAGAGTAATGTTTCTTCCTGCAGGTCTGTGAGAGCAACACAAGTGTCCATACAGACCTGTTGTATGTCTGACGCATGTGCATAAGAACTGTATGTGGCAAAGGTGTGGTCCTTGTGTGAACATATCGGGCGGGAGGCGCTCCATCTGGCTGTAATGGCGGGCCATGGCATCTGATGGGACTACAGCAGTGTGGTGGACAGGCAGGGACAGTCAGTCATTTTGGCTATGTACACATTCGTAGTCGGTCCATGGCTCCCCCAGACGAGTGTCATTTCCTCAGGTCTAATACACAAACCTGGAAAAACAAGAGAGACGAGACTGTTAGACAGAACTAGACTTTCTCATCAAAGTACATTTGCATCCTCTTATCAGCGTTTATAGAGACTGTAAATGAAACTATTTTGAGCGAATATTGGCTGATTTAGGTATTCAAAGTATTTGTGCCAAAGTAATAACTAATGCTATTGTGTATGACTGCGGATGTGTGACCACACCATTGACAGTGTATATATAATGGACAGAGCTTCTGGGTGTGTAAAGGCCTCCGCACACCAACCCGACCGTCGGCAGAAAAGCAGTTGGACTGATCAGTCGGCTCCCTTCTCCTCGAGTCGG